CCTCACAACCTGACTCTAAACCTAACCTCACAACCTGACTCTAAACCTAACCTCACAACCTGACTCTAAACCTAACCTCACAACCTGACTCTAAACCTAACGTAAACTTAATTCACATCTTGGTCCTAAACCTCCCATCCCACCAGTGGCAATTAAACCAAATGGGGACTCTGCTTAGGTCCATATGTACAAGTTGTCCCCACATGTAGGTGTTTTGTCTAAAAGTGGCTCTCATGGTAGGAAATACACGCCCATAAACACACAATGTCAGAAATAGACTTTATATTATTTGGGTCCTCAGGGAGAACATGCAGCAGTCTTTTTTTTTTTTTTTGACATGCCTCAACAGTTTTGACTGATTGCTGAACTGGGATCTTAAAATCCCATCTACACTAACATCTCTAGTGTCTGCCTCTCATTCACCTCTTTTAGTCTTCAGTTGAGTTTTTTGCCAGGTCATTCACAACTAATCCTCCCAACTCTGACATTTGGTGCTGTCACTTTCCAATAAATGTCCCCCTATCTGAATTTGTACCATAGTCTGTCATGGGGATATAGATCTCAATGGGATTTTTAACCTTTGTCACCCTTTACTCTTTTGTTAAGCTGCCTATCATCTGCCTCCCACATTCTTTCTTCACTCTTACTCTTCGTGCTACAAACTTCATTTTTTTTCTTCTTCTACTATATTTTTTTAAATTACTGCCAAAGTTTAGAACTAAAGTACATTCAAATTGAATAGGTTGTAATTACTTTCTGTGTACAGTATCCCTTTGTAAAAGGTCCTGAATTATTTTCATTCAAATCTATCAAAAACCTTTCCAACTAGTTTCTGAATAACTTTAGAGATGAAGGATTTTCACAAGCAGCAGGTGCCAAACAAAAGCATCTTAAATTATTCTAAAACTCCCTGTCCTGCATGTGAACAACTCATAACTTTAGCAGGAAGCAGGGATTGTTTTACATTGTCCAACCTGTACTTTAAAACTTTATCACACATCACATCTAGGTACTGTACCTTGGGTCACTGTGTTTAACCTTCACTGATTCAGTGATGCCTCTTATGGTGATAGTTAACTGAGCTCCAGCTGTTGAGTCAGGAGTTGGTGAAAAGAAATCCCTCTAACCAGTGGGAAAATTGCAGGAAAATTGCAAGAAATTGTGAATTTTCAGCTGCTGTCTCACTGAACTCTGAGTGTTTGAGTGACCAACAAGCAACATGACCGCATATTGAGCAGCAGTTTTTCAAATTCAGAGCTTATTTTCATCTGCATGGTTTGCAAAACTAAATTCTTGATAATGCGTATCAGTATTGCACACCTGCAGCTGCTAACATTATTTTGAGAGGAAAGTTGCCACATATGCATTTTGACCATGTTCAAAACTTGAGAAATAGGACTGCGAGTCTCTGCGTCTCAAATAGGAAAGTTGACCTCTCAAAGCACTGCAACATGCCACTTGTTGCCTACTTACAAATAGAATTCAGTGGGACTGCAGCAGGAAATTAGCCAGTTTGCTCATTATTTTTGCAACTCAATCACAGCCCAGTGAGATGCTATGAAATAGTATTTAAAACAACACATTTATTCCTAAATTGTTGTTTGAAAGTTGGAAGCAGTTGCTACAAGGTCTCTCTTCTTTGTACCTACGTCAATTTAACTCACCATTTGAGCCAAAAAGAAGTAATTGTAGTCCCCTACCACTGGAACATTGATCACACAAACAGAAGGACTAACTGATCAGACCATCTGGCTATTATTTCTACTAATAATTTGAACTGCTCATCAAAAACTATGGTATAATATTCTTAAGGACGTTTCAATGGCCTTATTGCTCTTTGATGTGCTCTCTCCTCAGGTACAGGAGCTGGTAGAGGACATAAAGCATTCCCTAGATCTTCGTCTGCAGGAGTTAGACTGGATGGATGAGACCACCAAAGAGGCTGCCAGAGCAAAGGTTGAGAAGCTCAGTATCACAAGCATGACTTCATGCCAGATCCGATTAGTATTTGAAAAGGATTTAATTTCTTTGTAATACTTTTCTTTGGGGGAGATAGCAGTGTGACGCATCAAGGGCTTGACTTTGAAAAATGAAGATTGCCTAATCCGGGATTTCTCTGTGGTGCTGATTTCGGATCTGCACTGCAAGATATCCCTTCTAATACTTTTACAATCCAAAGTTATAATCCTTTTAGGGGCCATTCAGAATATAAAAAGCTTTGCTGTAATCCTATTACTCCGGGTTGGCTTGATTAGCTGATGAATATGAGTGGGTCCAAAGCCAAACGTGCATGTATGAGTTTTTAGTTTCTACTAAAGTAGACATGAGATCCTGTTGAACCAGTCTGGTTGTTTTTCATCTCCTGTGTCACCATTTACTTCTACTCTTGTTCCAGCTCAAGCACATGATGGTAATGACAGGATACCCAGACTTCTTGCTCAAATCTGAGCTCATTGATCAAGAGTATGGGGTGAGTCATGAACCTCTTATTTCTTCTGAGCCATGCAGTCATCATGACACACAAGTACCCACACTTCGTAGTAAAGCAATCATTCTTCCAAGAATCGTGTTCTTTGTCTATGACTTCAGAAGAACTCCTCAACACACATAAGCATGCATCCTTTGTGATTGAATTCAGATTTACACAAAATGTGCACTATAATTTACATTCTGATTGTAGAACTGTTTATATAAAGAAGTGGACCATTTCATACACTGAGTTTGTTGATTCATTCATCAAATGCAAATAAAACAAAGCCCTTGTCAAGGAATGTTTATTCAAGAGTCTCTTAATAGACAACCAAGCACATGAATGTAGACTGTCGAACATTCACATTTAAAATTCTAAAATTTTGACTAAAATTTCGGGATGTAAAAGTATTGCATTGCTTTAAGAATGCATGCTGGAGTTTTAGATAAGATTTAGTGGCCATACCACTTTGAACACACCAGATCTCATCTCAGAAGCTAAGCAGGATTGGGCCTGGTTAGTAACTTGGCTGGGAGACCATCTGGGAATACCAGGTGTTGTAAAATCAATGTAGGAGTTGCGTTCACATTGGAACACTAGCAATAGAAAATGTTTGACCATAGATCACCTTCTGTGAAGGATAATGAAATAAACTAATAATGATGAGTAAGGACATTGATAGAGGTGCTGTCATTAAACTTTTTGAATGACGCTGTGCAGTGTCTTGTAATATGATGATTTGGTGCAAGATGATTTTGCACTCAGCAAATGTGATTCTCTTAAAGAAATGTAAAAAATATTGTTTTACTCAACAATTCAGGACATTATAGTTCTCGTTTTTTTATCGTTCTTTAAGCTGCTTGTCCGTCCTGTTTATGAAAACCATGCAGATCTCAGATTTTATTTAATATGACTTCAGGTTGTTAACATTAAAGAAAAATTGTGCACGTTCACGTTTGCTTTTTTGTTGGATTTTCTAGTTTGATGTGAGTGAGAAGACCTACTTCAAGAACATCCTCAACAGCATCAAGTTCAACATCAAGCTGTCTGTCAAGAAAATACATGAAGAAGTGGACAAGACAGCGTAAGCATCATGTTCCTCAAGCTCCACCCATCTCAGCTTTACTTACAGTTAAACAGGTTCTTTACATCTCAGACCCAGTCGAAGGCTCCCACTGCACAACTGTGAATGTGTTTCTCTAATGTGTTTGACATGCCTAACATGTGTCTCTATGAATCTCATTTAGTTTGTCATATTTGTTGATGTTGCCCCCTAAATTTAACAAACAGATACCAAATCACCATAAACAGCTGCAGAAAATCCATTTGACGTACTTATCTTTAACAGCCAGGCAGCGGAAGGAGTGCTGTGGGACATATGGTTCAGTTTGCTAAAATACAGCCCTGTACGCCTGGATTGAGTGCCTCTCTGTTATGACAACACATTACAGACACATTAGTATTCCAAGGTGCTCAGAACAACTGTATCATTAGCCCACACTCAATGCCCTGAAGAGTTAAATCACAGACTCCCTCTTTATCGCAAAAATGTTTCATCCCTCACTCTGTCTTGTCACAGCTAAAACAGACAGAAATGCTCCTCCTTCTCCCGTTTCTCTCCCCTCTGTTTTCACACAGTTCATTCAGAGCTGCCAGTCTTCCAATCACAGGACAGGACGTCTCAATCTTTGATTCAGTCATTCGGGGGACTTTATGCCAATCAACTGAACTGTTTTATATTTTTATTCAGAGAGGAACTTTGGCTGTGGAACTTTGCGAAGTGAACGTTTTCACAGAGAGTTTGGAATTAAATAGATCAGGGGTGTGAAACTCGTTTTTCCTCAAGGGCCACACGAGTGTTATGGTGGCCCCCAAAGAGCCAGGTGTAATTAATTACCTTTGAAGTTTCATGTTTAACTTCAACTAAACCTGAAACATCATGTTTTTCATCTCATTGCTACAGCTGAGCACTGCTAACAAACAATAACTGAGCTCTACCTGGTATTTCCTGCACAGAAACAGAGTTTTAACACGTCCTCTTATAAACACTGAAAAGTATGGGTATGACTGACTAAAATGTGAAATAAATAATACAGAAATAAGTAAAAGTAGAAGAGTTTTACTCATTGATGAGTTGTGGTGAGTAGCTGTCATCTTAAATTCTGAACTCTCCCATTTTCCTACAGGGAATTCCCATGAATTATGGGAGATGTAATTTATGGCCAATGCTGGCTTTAAAGCAGCTTATTTTAAGACATTAACACTGTGCTCCAACTAAATTGCTCATTGTATTATTTTTCACCTTTTAAATTAATTTATTTTGATGCATTTAATCAAAAAGTTAAAGTTAACCACTCATATAAAATCAATTTTCATATTAAAAAAGAAAAATGGGATTTTTTAATTTTTTTAATTTTATTTTATTTTATTTATTTTTTTTTTTTTTTTGCGTGGGAGCTTGGGTGGCCCGTGGGCCTTGAGTTGAAACAGATGTGAAATAGATGGAGGTGTTCTAGGTTGTGTTCAGCATTTGTATTTTGAATAGACAGTCCGGTAATTTGTGTGTGTGTGAAATATCACGTCTTTAAAACTTGTTTTTCTCCTCAGGTGGCTTCTCCCCCCACAGGCCCTTAATGCCTACTACCTGCCTAACAAGAATCAAATGGGTGAGTGTGTGACACTTCATTGTAAATGCTGATTTTAGTGTTGGCTGCTGCTACCCTTACATACACTCATAAACACTCAAATATAGTTCCTTTATTTCCTGTCACAATTTAGACTACATGATGTCATTGTGTTTTCAGCAAATCTAACTCGACTGTAGCAGAAAAAACAAACACAGAAACACATTTACCACTTAATATTATAATCTTTGTCATTACTTACTCTCTACTTTGATTTCCACATCACATTCTTAATGCCCCCCTGGAGGAAAAACAAGCAGTATCACCTGCCTGAGATTCAACAAATCTAGCCTTGAGATGCCC